TTCTCAGTCATTTATCCACCAGTGTGCCTATAAAAACAGCAGTTTGTGCCAATTGTGCTAACAGAGCGTTTCATTTAATACTTTGATTGTCATGCAGCCCTTTTTTTGCAAAATCCTTAAAATCTTTCCAAATCCTTGCAATCCCACTAAATTCTATGCATGGCATTTTGTGGTGATTCCCAGCATGTACTTGTGTCTTTTAGATTTAACCAGATTTAGATTTGGATTTGACTCCAGACGAGATGCCCCCGTTTATTTATATCGGGAGCGAGAAGGCAAGAAATGCTCACAAGTGGAAGCAACATTTTTCAAAGCCTCACAGTTTCATGAGGCCATTTGGACTTCCCTTTGTGAAGATTAGAAAATGCAAAGCAGCCGTCGGCATGAGAATGGAGAGAAGGGGCCTGAATTATTGAGCTGGATGAGAAAATCAAAGTGTTTGGCGGCGTGCGCCCACACACGGTGTTGATAAAAGTTAAGAAGGCTTACTGCCTGACAAACGGTGAGACGAGAGTGGGCAAACATGCAGAACTGTGGAAGATGCACCGTGTTTATGCTTAGCTTCTGTGGCTTCTATCTCTGTGTAGCACGCAGGAAGAGAGTGTCAGCGTGGCTGATAAGGTTTGATTGCTCAAAGAGAGGAGGGCATCCGGTGCTTGTGTGTGGCAACTGTTAAGTTATTGAAACTTGCAGACCAAGTTAACAGTAAATTTCGACAGATGTCTCTGTGCTTATTATGTCTCCTGAGAAAAGCCAGGAGATGCACGGAAACGGTCAAGTTACGCAAAAAGGCAACAGGCTGATAACAGAGCGACCGAGTGCAGAGAGAGAGAGAGAGGAGGAGGAGGAGAGACGGAGCGCAAGAGAGAGAGAGAGAGGAGGAAGGGAGGAGGAAGTCTTTAGACTTTAGGACTTCACATGAAGAGTATAAGAGATTATTCATGAGAGGAGGCAGAGGACACAAGTGAAGAACAAAGGAAAAAAGAATTTCTTGGGAGTTTTTATATGCAAGTGAGGAGAAACAGAGACCCTCTTCCCTGCGGGTCAGCCGTGAGAGAAGATGAAGAACCAAATCACCAGCGCCCTCTCCGACTTCTTCTTTGAGTATGAGACTCCCCGCCAGGTGCTGGTGAGGAACAGGAGGGTGGGAGTGGTGTGCCGGCTCATCCAGCTGGGGGTTCTGGTTTACATCATCGGGTAAGACCTGCACACCTTTTTCTCTTTTTGTTTTTAGCTGTAAGGAAATGGTGAGAAAGGGTTTGCATCACTTTGTGTAGTTCATCTTGTCTGGAACTTCCCTCCCGAGTGACCCAGAGTTCACTTTGTGTGGATAGAGTGGGGGGAAAGTGAAAGGAAGATGTTGGGCTTGTGCAGGGACACATACCGTCACTGCAGTTATTGTTGACACAGCAAACAGGCACAAATGACAGTTGTAAGAATCACTATGATTGACTGTGAAAAGAAGGTGTGAACATGGCACAACAGAGCCGAGCTCCTGCCCATTTCATGTTTGGACAAAACCCCTGCAGCATACTTGTTTGTCTACTCAGCCTCTCACCACCCACCCACCCACCCACCCTAACCTGATTAGACATGCCGGAGCTATTCGCTGGAAATTCATCCTGAAAAAGGGAGAACCTGTTTCCTTTACTTATCTCACTTCATCTCACGGTTACTTGCTTATGCAGCTGTGTGACTCTAACGTTTCCCTTCATGCACCTCCAAACAGCAGAACCTGAGGAGCTGCGTGTGATAAATATGCCCGGGCATATGCTCAAACAGATAACAATCAACTGCTGCCCAGTTCATTGCCAAACAGAGCACAGACGCATTATCATCTGCTGCTGCTGGTGACCAAAAATGGAAAAGCAGTAGACAAGTTTAACATCGTGTCTTGTTTAAAGTCGGGTTTTTATAAGTGAGGGATGTGATTTTAAACGGCTGATTCAGATCTGAATCATCAAGATCAGAAAAAGTTCATGGCACACACACACACACACACACACACACACACACACACACACACACACACACACACACACACCTGCCTCCTGCAGCCACATTAAAGCGGCGTGGTGATGTGCATGAGGGAGATGCAATTATAAAGCCGTCTCCTCTCTTCAGACTTGAAGCGGACGGGTCAGGGCAGAAGTCCGCCCGTCTCTCTCTCGGATGCTGAAGCAGGGATTCAGTGAATCGAGACTCACAGCAGAGGCAGCCTGAGCAAACAGCCTTCAACAGCTCAGGGGACAAACAGAATCGAAGGCAGGCAACAGACTACAGACATGGATGCTGAGACAGAGGCGCTCCCATAGAGGACATTCTGCTGGGTAATTAACTGGGAAGCATCTATCAAATGAAACAGGAAAAAACAGACGAACATACTCAAACTTCACATGTAATAAACACTTGAGTGGCCTTCATAAATCCCTCACAGTTCAGGTTGTTTGAGAGGCCCAGGACATGCTGGAGAGATTACATCTCTGGTGTGTTGGGAATGCTTTGGTGTCCTCCTGGATGAGTTGGAGGAGGAGGTGGGAGAGGGGTGTTTGGGCTGGTGCCCTGCGACCTGGACTCAAATAAGCAGTAGAAGGGGATAAAGAACAGCCCCAGAAAACCACACTCTCTTTTTGTAACTTTTATGCTAAAAAAAAAATCCCAATCCTCTGTTTATGTTTTTGGCTTTAACTTGAAGGTTGATTTATTTTTCTTTTCATTCTGTCTTTAAATAAAAACTAATCTCAGCAGCACAGTATGGTGGGAAACTCTCCCCAACATCAAAGAGCCTCCTCCCAGCCGCTCGCAGATACGCATCTCTCTTACGCTGCTGTTTTGGAAGATGCTTCCATTATTTCCACGCTCATAGCTTTCTTTATTCCTTTAATTTGCCCTGTTTTTTCTCCCGTTTCTCCGCATTTTTTCACCAGCTCCCTCCAACCTATATAATTCGATTTGCCATGCTGATAGACGTTGCTGCTTTTGTGCTTACGACTTCACTCTGCAGTTTGAAAGATGCTTCTTCTCGTTCGCCGCTCTGAGGAGCTTTCATTGCAGACGAATGAAGATATGCTGCACCACACGCTGTCCTGTGGGCTTCCTGCCAGGGGCTAATTGCTTTTTCACAGCCTGTATGAAATAGCTCTACACATGCGTCACAGTGTGTGTGTACACACTGTATCAGCTCAGTGCACACCAGCTGTTGCCTTTACCTCGTGGCTACAAACACACACACAGACACGCAAGCAGAGGAAGTAAATGAGTTTAAGGTGATGCACCCCAAGTGTAAAGCTGCTTTTTGCTGAACTGGAATCCTTTCATGTGAGCAAAGTTTCAGCTTCACCGTGACAAACCCAGCACTCAGTTTCTGTGAGGACTCAATGTTTTTAACAATGACTTTACAAAGTGAAAGTGCCTGCAGCGAGATGTGGGCCGTGGATCTTGCAGCTTTTTTGTATTGTCGCAGCCAGTGGAAAGACCGGACCATCATTCACAAACTTAGAGCTAATACAACATCACAAAAATGTAACTACAGTATGTGTTAATGTGCTGATGCTGTGAAAGACGTTTTTAACCCCGTCGAGCACGAACCATGAAAAATTCTAACTTTTTAAAAATTGTAGTGTTTTTCAAACCTTCTGACAAATTTAAAACAAAAGAAATAAAATAGCAGTTTTCATATACGGCAGCCATACGGGTACCGAAGGGGAAATGTGTCTTAGGTGGGAAGACTCGGAGATCTTAAAGGAGTCCCTGCTGACAACAGGTCTGGGGACCGGACTCATCTATAGTACTATACAGCTGGGATGCAGTCCATCTCACTCCAGCTGTGAAGGACATGATAATGTCATATTCCCTATTTGAGAGTCAGGTTTAACAAACAGATGAAATAACTTTTAACTAGTTGTTACTGACGTGTTTGCAGATCCACACAAAAGCTGACCTTTGAATGTGACACAGACTCTGGAGAAATCCTGTCAACACTGATCAGGACCCTGATAATGGTAAATGGTCTGTATTTGTAAAGCGCTTTGGGGTCCTCAGGGACCAGTAAAGCGCTTTACACACCCAGTCATCCACACATTCACACACTGGTGATGGCAGCTACATTGTAGCCACAGCCACCCTGGGGCGCACTGACAGAGGCGAGGCTGCTGGACACTGGCAACGGTGTCTTGCCCAAGGACACAACGACCGAGACTGTCCGAGCCGGGGCTCGAACCGGCAACCTTACAAGGCGAACTCCCAACTCTTGAGCCACGATCGCCCCTATTAATGCTCAGCGCGAACACTTTTACCTTTGCTTTCTTTCAGCAGCTGCTGTGATAGTTTGGAGCTGAGATGCAGTACGTCTGCTGTGTCTTTGCGGTGCTGAATGGACAAGAACACGAGCCAGTGCGTTGCATGACTACAGGCACGTTTGTCCTGGTAGTTGTGCTGATGGCTGTGTGCAGTGCCGGTGTCGTCCTTGTGCAAGCCCTTGCTTTGGGGTGAAGTGGGATTTTGAACAGAATGCTCTCTGTTTCGTGCACAGGTGGGTTTTCATCTATGAGAAAGGTTACCAGTCCACAGACACGGCCGTCAGCTCCGTCTTCACCAAAATGAAAGGAGTGGGCTACACCAACAACAGCGGGGGAGAGAGGGTCTGGGACGTGGCTGATTATGTCTTCCCTTCACAGGTCAGTGACCTTTCGTGCCCCCAGTAACATTTGATATGTCGTCGTCTCGTGACTCCTAAGTGGTCGGTAATTTGTTTGGCACCTGATGTAAGTCGGTCACCAGAGGCAGATTTGATGAAATCAACTGTCAGAGTGAGGAAACATCAGCTGAGCAGGACAACGTGTCACTGCTGTTTGCTAGAAAACTCAAGGCTGACAAAGAAGCAGAGGTTTGTAACGTTCACCTCTGTCGACGCGACTCTGCAGCTTTATTGCATGTGAGAGCAAAGCAGGGACACTGATCAAATAGATAACTTTGTTTGCCTCCAGTGTTGCTGTGTCCTGTTAACTGTGGGAAAGAAAAAAGAAGACACAATGTAGGCTGCCATGTTTGCTCTGAGGTGTGGGTGTGGGCTTTAATTCAGAGCAAGGCAAACAGGTGGTTTCAGTGTTACACAATGAAAAGATCACTTTTCTCCATCACGCACTTTGATCAAATGCACTTTATTGTCAGGTGGTCATTGTTTTAGTAATCGTCACGTGACCTCACTGTTATGTCGACGTTCGGTTCAAAGAGAGGCCTGAAAAAGGAAGAAAGAAAACATTGGCAGGAACAACATATGAATGCAATCGTTTAAGGCAAAGCACAAGAGGAAGGGTGTCAGCGATAACTGAAGCCCAGCATCAGGGCTGCACTAAAAACAGCTGATTGGATAACAAGATACAGGTGAAGCAAAAAGGACGGAGCCAGCAATCACGAAGGAGAAAAACCACACGAGCACACAAGACAAGTAGGTAACCTTGCAGGAAATACCAACAAGGAGTGACACTGAAAGGCTCCACAGACAAACCGAGAGACACAGGAAACACAGGAAGCCACCAGAGATGCAAAAGAGAAGAAAAACAACCTGGAATGTGTCAGTGTCACAATGAACTTATACAGAACATTTTAATTTAACTGTGATTTTGAGCAAAAGTAAAGAGAGTTTTACCCCCTCCTACTGCCTAATGATATGGCATTTGACCTGCCAAAAGTTCAACTCGCAGTATAATAAAGATGCTTACAGTTCTCTATTGGCTTAGATCACAAACTGGAAACACAGAGGAACCAGGACATTCGCTACACAACACACAAATTGCGTGACAGCTCTCACATACGTGTGTGCTCAGGGTGACTGCAGACGCTCGGGGGGTCGAACCTTTGCTGCTCGAGTCTGCGTGTCAAAGCATCCGTGGGTACGATGCTGAAACCCACGTCACCTCCAGGAGGGTCGGTGCTGGACCGAAGGTGAATGAGGCGCACTGTAAAAAGTGTTAGAGTAGAAAGGTGTTATATACGAACCGGTCCAATCATATCGTTTATCACTGTACTGTAAATATGATCACGGCCTTGTAAATAGTCTCACAGTTGAGATTGTGCAATGATCCTGACCGTCGAACGCCGTGTTGACCCATCCATCCACCCCAACCTTCTTCCTGTGAGGGGATTTCTGTTGCTCTGCAACTATTTCAGCTCTTCTGCTCCAGTTCCTGTGAAATACAACGAGCCATGGCTCGCAGAAGTTTGCTTTAAGGTCTGTGCTCACTGCTTTTAAACACATTGCTTCTTCTCTTTTAAAACTTCAGGGAGACTCATCATTTGTAGTGATGACAAACTATATCATGACTGAGGGTCAGTCAATGGGAACCTGTCCAGAGGTAGGTGAAAAAGCACTGGTTCTCTCTCTCATTCCTCCCTCTTCCTGCTTCCTTCCTTTCCTCCTGCGCTTCCATATTTAGTAAAACGAGCGGAAGTTGTATCTCATTCCAAGACTATTTCTGTAATTGGGTAATTGTCCGAAAGTTGTATAGCAGAAAAGGGCTCTTTTAAAGCCTAATGGCCCAAAGAGCAGTGTGTGTGGGATCCATACATGTAAGACTATAAAAACAAGACGTTTCTTTCACACTCCCAGGGTGTTTTCCTGTCTTCTTCTTCATGTCCTTCTTTTGTACTTGTGTACACAGACTGACCCCAGTGTCTTCTTTATAACAGCTCCCGGGCAAACACAACTGCAATACAGACGCCGACTGTGAAGGAGGGAGTTTCAAACGTACGGGAAACGGTAAATCCTGACAGGCTGAGAGTGTGACCTCAGCGGTCCTCACTGAGTCTGTTGCCAACTCACACCAGTCCAGATTTTGTGCTTCTTGTTATGTAATTTTGCTTCGCCGGAGCTGAGAAGCCTTCTGAAACTCACTGAAGCCATTTATTGAGCGAGGTCGGGGATGGTGTCAGGTGATGGAGCAGCAGTGTATTTGCAAAGTGGGCCGTAGCTGTGACAGGACAGGCTCACGCAACAGCATCTATATAAATACAGCAGATATGAGTCACGGCTGCTGAGGTAAACATTTACACAGAATTCATGAATTGCATTCGTCCGGCGCTGAGAAGAAGAAACAGATTCATCTCAACAAACCAGGCCTTAGCAACCAAACATTTGGTGTGTGTTTGTAGTACGGCTTGTTGTCCGCTAAAGTAAGCAGCTGAAACTCTGCCTTAAGCAAACAGACATACATGCATGTATATATAAGCACGCTCAACTGCATGCATGCCAGCTAATATAAACTGCAAGCACACAAAGACACAGCCACATGAGCTCTAATGTGTCCAAATGTGTGGCTGGTTCTAAGAACAGTTATATAAACTTATTGTCCTTCATCCGTCCCAGAGTTCAGTTCAGAGCCTTTCCACGTCGCCCTCAATCAGACCGAAGCTTTACATCTGTCTGGCTCACACCAGTCACATGCAGGCGCTCAGCCTCCACGCTTAAAAACAAGTAAACGCGGGACTGTCCTGCAGCCAAACACAAAGGTCAGAGGGCCGAAGCCGAGTGGGCGCCTGCTGGAGACTGTCTGCAAGCTCATCACACGCACGATGAGAGACCGATAGCAGCGAAGCTGTACGCGCACAGGGAGGCGATAACATTGGGATTAAGGCTAAAAGAAAGAGCTGGTTCAGCGTTTGCTTTGCTTTTATACGCTGCTGTTGATGCTAATTCAAGATAAAAGTGGAGGCAAGAAAGTGTTTGAAACTGCTGCCAACGCCCACGCTGCTGCCTGTTTCACTGTTGAGTAATCGACTCTAACTCTTTGTTTCTGTATCAAGGAGAAATGACCGGAGTCTGCGTGAACAGGACTAAGACCTGTGAAGTGCTGGCCTGGTGTCCAGTGGAGGACGACCGCGACGTACCAGAGTACGCAGACAAACTGAATTATTCACGATTGTGCGATTACACAATCATCTGTGGAAGCAAACATGCTCATTTGAAATCTGATCTTGTTTCCGTTTCAGTCCTCCGCTGTTGTTGTCTGCAGAGAACTACACTCTGTTCATCAAAAACTCCGTCACGTTCCCCGCATTCGGCGTCTCGAGGTGACGGAGACACATTTACCTCAGAAGATGTGATGAGTGTGATGAGTGTGTCCTGCTCTGGCATGACTATTGTAACTTTATAAAACAGTTGTGGCCAGAAATCTTCAGTCAGTGGCACAAATTTGTTTTTTATACTCTTCAGTTTTTACTGAGATATTTGTTCACGTTTCTATGATGTCATAAAAACAATCACAATGATTTTATACATTTCAGTTTCTTCTGTAACCTGTTGCCAAATGAAACACAGCTTTGAAGCAAACAGAGCTACACAGTAAACTCTGTTCTTCTTTTAACTCTTATATCTTCAGCTTCTAAATCAAACCACAAGTCTAATCACTCATTTTGGTAAAAGTACAGAAAGTGTCAAATATTTCACTGTTTTTTCGTTTTCAGGAGCAACCTAGTGGAGGACGTCGACTCCAACTACATCAGCAGTTGCCTGTATCATCCACTCAGCGCTCCCCTGTGCCCTATATTCAAACTGGGAGACATTATTAAACTTTCTGGCTTAAACTTTCAAACAGTAGCTAAAGTGGTGAGTTTGAATTTCTGCTTCTTTCTGAAATTCCTGTCATGTTTCCGTGTTTTGCTTCTCTTCTTCTCCTGCTGTGATGAAGACGGCGTTTGTGTCCTGACAGGGAGGAGCCATCGGGATCGTGGTCGACTGGACGTGTAACTTTGACGTGCATGTAAAACACTGTAAACCAGAGTACACCTTTCATGGACTCTATGGAAGCAAAGAAGGCTCTTCAGTGGGCTACAATTTCAGGTGTGTGAAAAACACAGCTCAGCGAGAGATTTGTTCCTTTTTCTGTTAGTTTGTGTCCAGAAAACCTCTGAAGCGCATATATTATCATTTTAGCTTGCAGCACTTTTAAGGTCTCATGTTAATAATATTATTAATATTATATATTAATTAATAAGCTTTACACTTCCATTTGCTGAGCTCTCGCTAACTTCATGATAACGTGGACTCGCTCTTCTCATCTAACCTTTGAAACTGTTGACAACATCGCACATATTGGCTCAGTGTTTGAAACTACTGCAGTTCATTTCTGCTTCCTCGCGCACCACAGACACATGCATGCTCCTGCTCTGTTATTCATTGTTCACCTGCTGGCTGATGGAGAAATGTTGTTCTGTCACTGTTATTGTTCATTTTCCATGGAATCGGCTTCACTCGCTATTTGCTCCTAATGCTGCTTCAGCTCCGCTGAATCTGCCAAGTCGACTGGCTGAAGTTTCTGATGTTTGCTCAGTGAAACAGTGTTGACTTGTCTCAACTGCCTTTTCTTGTTGTTTCTTCACAGCTCGCTCAGTAAATACACGGATGATGACGTGTTTGTCAAATGCTTTTGAAACGTATTTCATATGCCTGCTAACATATTGTGGTTGTGTCTGTCTGCAGGTTTGCGAGGCATTATATGGAGGACAAAATTCAGAAAAGAACACTTCTGAAAGTGTTTGGCATCAGGTTTGACATCATCGTCCAGTCACTTGTGAGTAACACGTTTATCTTAAGTATGCTTTTGTCACTGGAAGAATAAACCAAAGGAGTTGATATGACTCTGCTCTTCACAGGCGCGGAAATTTGATATCATCCCTACCCTCACAGCCATCGGCTCTGGAGTGGGAATTTTTGGAGTGGTATGTTGAAAGCTGAAATATTTACTTACATATTCCACACGTCTGTGCAAAAGTCGGCCCTCGTGTTTGATACTCTTAGGAACCAGGCTCCGTTCTAAGTTTTAAAGTGGTTCTCCAGGTTTTCTGAAGGCCTCTGTGGACACTGACATATGAATGACTGAGGCACCTAACTCCAGGGACTGTGTCCAAACATACCGCGGTTAAATGTGGTGCAGGTTATGTCGTGGTGTTGGAGGTCGTGTCAAAACTGATGGAAAAAAACAAAAATCTGATTTTGATCCACGGTGCAGCAAGAGTGGAAAGCTTCTGATTGGTGACAGCTTCAGCGTGACAATGATCCCATGATCCCAAACACAATGCAGCAAAGGCATACCTGGATACACAAACACACAATCAGTCAGATCTCAACATTACTGAAGCAGTGAACAGGACAAATAACAGCCAACATCCAAAGAAGAGCTTTGAACGTCCTTCAAAAAGTCTGGAGAACTGTTCCTGAAGAGAAATGACAACAAACGAGTTCAGGCTGTGTTGAAGAATAAAGACTTGTTTCAGTTAAACAAACTGTACGTTCGACCACATGTCCAATGTTCCTGGTGTTGCAGACAAAGCAGGCCTTTATATCTGTGTACTATTTTGTCTTCCTTGAACTCAGCTGCCACCAGTTTTCCCCTCAGGTGCCAGTGCACACCTGGTTCAGCAATCGGCCACCCAACACTGTAAAAGCCTAACGGTGGCTCCGTTAGTTTGGCTTGGCTGAGATCAGAGGTCGTTTGCACCTACTAGTGAGTAGCTAGTGTGTGAGGCTCCATAATGTGGTAGTTTACACATTTGTGTGGCAGGTGAGAGGTTGCTGGTTTCATTCTAGCCAGCGACACACAAACACGCAGCGCTACCTGCTGTGCTGATGAGGAGCTAAAAGTAACTCCAGTGAGTGTCCAGAGTCTGCAGAGGTGTTCTCTTTGTAGGTAATGACAAAGATTTAAAATATTCGGTGGTTCGAGACTTTTGCACAGTGTTGTAATCCAACAGGAGATGACGCAGTTGTTTCTTTCTCCTCTTTTTAGGCGACTGTAGTGTGTGACTTGGTGCTGCTCTATTTGCTACCGAAAAGAGAATTTTACAAGAACATGAAATTCAAATACACGGACACACAAGTACAGGTAAGACCTTCAAAAATGAGTCTGTGCTCTCTTTGAACAGCAGAGGGCAGCAGAGAGGTGTTCAACCAATCAGAGAAAGTCATTGGAGCTTATTTTCCTTCACCACGTCCAGCCATACATTTCACACGGAAGCCGTAACCTTCACTTACCATCAGATTATTGCTGTGTTCATTCCCATAACGTGTGAGAGAGTCTGTGATTAGTACAGATTATCTGATGGAAGATGAAATCTGTGTCCGTCCCACCCAGACTGCTTTCCTCTTTCACTTCTGTTTTACAGCAGGACAGCGAGTCGGTTGGTGTAGACACGAACGTCTATTACACCCTCGAAGCAAATGCAAAACAGGCTCAAGGCAAAGACCGGTCCAAAGTGAGTAGGAGGCAGTCTGTGCA